GCTCCTGGGGGGCTGCTGATGCCACTGGTGTCAGGGGCCAGCGTACCACATCCCACCGCACCGGCTGCCCCTTGCCCTGTGGGGCAGCGGTGGGGGCCAAGGTCAGACACACTCTCTCCCCACAGGCCTGCCACCAGCCATGTCCCGCTCGGGGCAGCTCTGATGCTTCTTTTCCCACCCCCAGATCCAGAACCCCTCCTGGATCGGCAACAATGGCGCCGCCTCCCCCGTGCCCGCCTGCGTCGTCCCCTGCGAGACCGTGCCCTCCTGCATGTCTCCCCATGCTCATCCTCATGCAGCCAGCGGCGTCTCCGAGTTCCTCGGCGTCTCCGGCCCTGGCAGCCACGTGGGACAGACTCACATGGGTGGGCTCTTTGGTACGGCCGGGATGAGCCCCAGCCTCAACGGCTACGAGCTGAACAGCGAGCCGGACCGCAAGACCTCCAGCATCGCTGCCCTGAGGATGAAAGCGAAGGAGCACAGTGCCGCTATCTCCTGGGCGACATGACAGGGCTGCAGCCCAGCGCCCGCGAGACACGGAGAGAGCACATGGGGACAGCCGAATAAATCCATCCTCTTGGACTCCAGACAGCAGTTGCCTCCTCGGGGATCTGAATGCAGCACTTTTAGCTACCCTAGGTATATACAGTACATATGTTAATGTAAGTGGAGTGTTTCCAGCATGAACGCAGCAGCTCCCAGCTTCCTGGGATCAGACGGGGAGAGGGAGGCTGTGGAGCAGCACCTCTTCCAGTGAGACCTGGGTTGGGATGCATCCCCTCTCACTGCCACCTCCCCAATAACCTGGGCATTTTTTCTCCCTGCTCCTTTTTCTGACACCAGATCTGCCTTTCCAAAGAGCAAGAGCCCACTGGCATTTCAGCAGCTTCCCCCATCCCATCACCCCCCCATACACACACACACAAAAACACACACACGCACACACAAAAATTCCCCTCCTAATTTGTCGACAGTGTTGCTCAGATCTGTTTTGCCCTGGGCAGGGGACTGTATGGGGACACTGGCACCAGCAAAGAGACACCTCTCGGGCTGCTCTCACCTCTTAGCAAGAGCCACAACTTCCCACAGCTGAATGGGAAACAGGGCTGGGAAGATACCTGAGGATAGAAAAAAGGCAACATTACCCCATCTCCTTCTACCCTGCTTCCTCTCCACCCTGCAGTCTGAGGTGAAGCACAGAGCCATGAAGCACAGGCCTGTGAAGGGGATGCCTCTCTTCCCAACACGGCACAGTGCCACTACGCTGGGAGTCTTTGCCAGCTCTCTGGTCACTTGGCTGGAGGTGCGCCCCAGCAGGCAGCTGGCTGCCCCATGGGAGCGCCTGGAGTTTGCTTTGCCATGGTCACGGGCAATGTTGAGGCTCATGTGCATAGTGGGGCAGCAACATGTTTCCTCTGGCTTTCACTGGGTCAGGAATCACTATCCTCAGTTCAGAGACAGCAGCTATGGGAGGGGAGTAGAGTTGCTGTGTAAATCCACAGGTCTCCAAAAGGACTGCTCTGAGAAACACCTCAAGTGCTAGCACACAGCCACGGTTGCGACTTCCTCATACACCTTGTCCTGGGGTCAGATACGTGCAATGACAGCCCCTCCTTGACCAGGACCTCTGTGGGCATCTCCGCATGGGGGACGGTGCAGGCAGCAGGCTGGGAAGGGGAGCCGAGGCTGGATGGAAGTGATGCTGTCTCACCTCCAGCCACCTCAGATCCTCTTCACCTTGCAGAGGAAGGAGGAGACACCAGAACTTGCCTGGTTTGTCTGAACCAATACGCGTCCTCTGGTTTTCCCTCCCGCCACTCTTAACCTGCACAGTGCTGTTAAATAAGATCTCCTTCACAAAGGCTGAATCTTTTCCAAGCTTTTCAATGACCTTGTGGTGCTAGGAATAATTTTGGAACATCCTTTTACCCCACTGAATTATCACCAAGGAGAAGCTGAAGGTCAGCTGAGCACTGTCACCCACACAGTGTGGCTACGCAGGCTTGGCTTGAGCTGGGGCAGCCATCGCTGAGATTCGCAAGGGAACTACAGGATTTTACTGCCATAAAAATTTGTGTGTCACCCTGCCCTCCCTCCTCGTGCTCAGTGTTAGGGGATCCTGTAGTTCAAGGTCCAGGGATATTTAGTGGTCTTGGAAAAGGCTCCAAATAAGCTACAACCAAACATCAGGTTTCAGGTTAACAAGGTATACAAGTATTTCTATAGTGCCTAGACTGCCATACACTACATAAATGATATACCATTGCTAGATCAAATGTAATATATATTTATTGGAATAAGAAAAGACCAGTAGTACTGTCTCTTTTCTCTCCTCAGAAATGCTAAGAGATGCCTTCCTTGGTACTCGCAGGGACACAGCACGCATTTAACCACACCGTGTGTACGACCAGGGCCTGTCCCACCACAAGCAGCTAGGACTTATGCCCCAGCCTAAACGTTCAGCCGTGCCATCGGGCACGATGGCTTAGGCACTAAAAGTGATGCTGATCACCGAACCAGACGGGATCACGCTGACCAGCTGGAGGTGTACGTCACCCCACCGGGTACCCCAGGAGGCACTGAGGGTCCTGGGCCACCCAGGGGCCAGTGGCAGGAGGTGGTTTCTCCAGCAGATTTCGTGCAGGCAGCCAAGCGTGGTGCCGAGGGCATTTTCCCAGGTCCGCAGGGCAGCAATCCTGTGAAGGGCTGCTGCCCAACAGCCCAGCAACGTTACTGACCAGCCAAATCAGCACCAGGCAGAGCTTAGAGTGGGCGGTGGGGCGGGCGGGTACGTGGGGACGGGTCCCGTGTGGCCTGCAGGTACTGAAGGCAGGAGGGCCGTAGCTGTTCAAGGGCTTAGCTGCATTCCCTACTGGAGTTAAAGGGCAGCTTTTCCTCACGGACTTCCACAGGGCCGGGATTTCACCCAAGCTGTTTGACAGCCCAGAGGATTTGCTGTATCCCTTGCCTTGTTAGAGAGCGACACGAGTCTCCTGGCAGCAGACTTGGCATTTACAGAGGCCTGGCCCCCGCTTTCTCTCACCTTGAAATCCATGTGCAAAGCACATGTTGGGCTCACTCAATCTATTTTAAACGCCACCACGCGTGCCCGGCCCTGAGCCTGCCTGAAAGCATCACGAGGC